CCGTTGCACCTTCACTGCCCAGTGTGCCTGCAGTCCTTATAGGCCCCGCAGTGGATCCCATGCCCGGACAACCGATCGTGCCTGCGATACCTGTAGTGGCTGCGACACCCGGCCAACCTGCAATAGCCATCGTGCTTGGAGAACCTGGAGTGCCTGAGAGTAAATTTGATTTTCATTCTTGCTTTGTTACCTGATTTTGAAAACTGTTTGGCAGAAAACAGTTTAGAAATTTCCTGTAAAAGTCTAGTGCGTATTCACAAGTCCAGCGAGTAATTTAGACTGCATCGCCAATTGCTCTTCCATCTACAGCAATGACTGCAACGGTTATGGTGCAATATGTGCGAATGCAACAGAAGCTCTAGCTGACGTGATCACCACGGGAGGGGAATGCCAGTATGTTTGAATTTTGCGCCTTGTTAAAGAAATTAAAACGAAAGGTAATGTGTGCGCACACATAAAATTTAGTCAATTGTGTTTTTATGAAAGTGCACAATGCTCGAATAAGTACATTTATGTACATATTATAGGCAAACATGGATCTGTCCCTCAAGAACCTCAGCGTACTAATGTACATATTATAGGCAAACGTGGATCTGTCCCTCAGGAACCTCAGCGTATTATTATCCATCTCTCATATCCGAACCTTTGGCATATCCAGGTGGATTTATCAAGTCAACCATGCACGTCAAGAACACTTGACATCACAACCTAATTGCACTTTTAGCTGAATATGCTAGCTGTCTCCCGTCAGATGGTACTTGGACTGTTCCCAATGGTTCCACAACCATCGCTGCACTGGCTTGTCAAGGAGGAGGAATATAAGCAACGCCGCATTCAAACACATTTTTTATTATGCTTTGTGCCTGTGTATCCTCATCTTAAAATTTGGGCATATGGTGGAAGAAAGGTATCAAAGAATTCTAATTTCTAACCACATTTTTCAGACATGCCATCTTTTTAACAAGCTAAGAATGGCATGCTGCTAGCATGCTCTTACAACGCGGGATTTCGAAATTATGCTGTAAATAAACAAAAGGCGTGTTTGATATCAAAACGCGATTCAAACCGCGTAAGGCATCGGTCATACCTCGTCGCTGCGCGATTTCTAGTTGCTATGATAGTCTTCCGTAGGCTCATACTCTAAAAGCAAAATTTGGAACATAAACCTTACAAAAGCTACCCGCCTATGCACTTGAATTCCACAAAAAAACTACCCGCCTATGCACCTGTATTCCACACGCGGGGGATTTGCAGACATCTGGCAAATTGCAACCACACGCGGTGGATTTGCAGACATCTGGCAAATTGCCATACGCGGCGGATTTGAGACATCTGGCAAATTGCCAAATCGCGAGTCGCCGCGATTTTGGAAAATAGCGCGAGGTATGCGCTAGTCGCCGCGATTATGCAGAAATCGCGTGAGGTATGCCCCTCTTGCCTAAGGAAGCACGAATTACCTCTTAGAGTTTTATGAAATCTTATATGAATGAAGGCGTTGCCCAACGCCCAACTTACAATTTATTGTAGCTGACACTGTTCCAGCTGGGTATCAACTAAGTTAAAACTTTTTCCACATATATTTTTTCCTTTTTTCAAATAAGTCGCATTTGCACTTTGAAACTTTGAAACGCGAGAAAGTTCACTGTCTTTTCTTTAGGCTTTTTCGTAGCCTTCAAAAAATTTGAATTAGCGCAGAATCTGCTCCGATCGCAAAGCGTGCCCCTAAGCAGGCCGGTGCGCTAAACTCTCAAGCGAGCTATTCAGAAGGGGGGGGGGGTCGGTCCCGGTCGAAGGGGCTCGTAAATATATGTAAGATCGAAGAGGATTTTGTTTCTATCTCAGCGATTCCAGCTGTTGCCGCGACCTGAATCCAAGTCAAGCCTTCTCTAATAAAAGGGTCAACATAACTTCCATCACAATTTGGCTAAATGTAAATCGGTTGCAAAGGTCGGTCGTAAAGTTATTTTTTAAGAAAGTTTTGCCAATAAAGGTTGAGCTAAGTTATTTCATTTG